AGTAATCAACGTGATCAACTTCAGATCCAAACATTGGCCAGACAGATGTTTCCAGGAGAAACTAAATATTTTATGGACGCCTTTAAAAAGGCTACTAGCAAAAAGTATGGTTATTTATTAATAGATATAAGCCCTCACACAGTCTCTCTTTATAAGCTTCGGACGGATATATTCCCAAATCAGACAGTGATTGTGTTTCGACCAGAAAAAGAAAAATATGAGTGAACGAATGAAAAAAGAAAGGTACTTTTTAAAATATTTGTTAAATACTGATAAAAAACAACAAAAACTTTTGATTCAACATATTTCCAAGAGTCAGATGGATGTAATCATTGAAATCATTTTCAATGTTTTAGCTGGAAATTTAACAATTTCTAACAATGATAAAAAAGCTTTACAAAGGTACAAAACGGTTATTAGAAAAATTATATCAAAAGGATTATCTCGTGTTAAAAGGAAAAAAATTAATCATAAAACATTTAAAACAGGTAATTCTTTTAATCAAACCGTGTGAGAAATGGCTCAAGAATTAGTTCTCATACCGAAATCAAAGTATGAACATTTTCTTTTAAAAACAAAAAATAATGAAAACATTTGTGAAAATAAACAATGGAATCATAATGAAGGTAAAGTGAAAATAACAAACACTGATGAAAAAAAAAGATTATCATCAAAACATATTCAAGAACAAACAGGTGGAACTAACTTCCACAGAAAACAATGAAAAGCATATTAATCCTTTAAATCATGAAATAGCAGATAAAAAACTTTTTGTAAAACGTTCATTTCGTGATTTTGAGAAGACAATACCAATTGTTCAGAAAAAAGAACAAAACGTAAATGGATATAATACAATGTTTAAGTTTAGCGCTTTTTTTAACTTTAAAAAGAAATTTAAAAGAACCAATTGAATTGTTAATAATAATTTTTGAATATTTAGCGCTTTATAATTATGATAGTTATTTCAGTCTTAAATAATTTAGTTTAAGAAAAACTAGCAATCATGGCACACCTTTTAGATACACTCATACAAAAATATCCGGATAATTGTGAAAAATTACGGAAAGAAATTAAATCTTTGAAAAGGAAATTAGAGATTGATAAGGAAAACAATACAAAAATTAAAAAACTGAACTTCAGTGTGATATGTGTTCGAAAAGTTTTGGTTTAAAAAACAATTTAACAAGACATGTTTTATCACACAATACTTTCTTAAAATGTGTGTTTTGTGATGCTAAATTCAGAAGAAACGATTATCTACAAAAGCACATCAAAACAAAGCATAAACAATATGGAAGACAGAAAGCTTTACGTGATGAGATCAAGAGATATCAACTCCAAAGTGAGACCAACAAACACAGAGTTATATGATCATGATTATGCACTTACTTCCTCTACAGTTGCAAACACCTCTCATAATGTAATGATGATAACATTTCATCCATTGATTATTCTGTTGAAAGCGGAGACCATAATCATTCACATCCTTCATCATCCATGGATGATTCTGTTGAAAGAGGAGACCACAATTATTCACATCCTTCATCATCTGAGGTTACAAACGATAATGCTTTACCATCTTCCAGAGATTCAATAGAAAACATAAACCATAATAATGTTAGAACTTGAACTGCGTTGAATCAAACAATTCGGGATTATACAATTCATCCAAATCAACATGAACAATATGATATGTTAACATTTTTTGCTAATGTTAAACCTCGAGTTCAAGATATTTTATCATCAAGATTACAAAACAGTGGAATTAAATATTATTTATCAATTCAAGTGGAATTAATTAAAGATACTCCAGACAATCAACTATCAACAACGCCTCATTTCAGGAGTAGAACTTACACTGCCTTAAACTTAACCACGTTTGATGAGGAGGATTTGAATGAAAGTTTCCAGAAAATGTTTGAGAGTTTTGAAAAATATATTCGAGAATCATCTGGATGGGTAATAAAAAAGGTAATTCATTTAATCCTTATACTTGAAATTTCACCTTTATCTGCCCATCAAGTTTTTTTTTTTGGAAAAAAAATTCCTCAAAAAAAAATGAAAAAAACGAAGGCAAGTCTTTTAAAAATCGAAAAAATAGACAAAAAAGTTTTTTTTTGGAGTTGTTCGCTTCCATAATCTAAAAATTCTCCTCTAGAATGAATTGAAAAATATGAAAAACCAAATTAAAAATGCAAGGGAATTGATTACCCCGTTTCAGTTAATCAAATCAATAAATTTGAGAACCAGAATCCATCTATATCCGTTAATGTATTTACATATGAAGACAAAGATATTTTACCTTATCGCATCACTAAACGACATGATAGAGAACATCAAATTAACTTATTACTTTTACAATTCGAAACGAAATCCCATTATGTTCTCATTAAAAACCTTAATAAATTTTTAGATAGTCAAAGAACAAGCAGGACTGGTTATTACTATTGCCCATTTTGTTTACATGGTTTTATCAAGAAAGTTCTACTTGAAGAACACATCCCCTATTGTCAAGTTCATGATAAACAAAAAATTGAACTACCCTCCAACAAAGACTGTTTTCTTGAATTTAAAGACTATGAAAAAACCTTACGTGTACCTTACGTTATTTACGCTGATTTTGAAACTTTAAACAAACCCTTAAATGGAAGTGCTAAAGGTTCTACAACACAAACACAGTTATTAGAACCATGCTCTTTTGGTTACAAAGTTATTTCCACAGACCAATGTTTTAGTAAAGAAACAGTTGTATATAGAGGTCCTGATGCTCCCAAGAAATTAATTGAATGTCTTTTAAAAGAAAAGAAAGTGAGGAAATACAACAGAATCTCAAAAATATAAAACCATTATTTCTGTCTTCTAGGGAAGCAACAGCATTTCACATAACCGATAGGTGTTGTTTATGTAAAAAATATTTTATAAGCAAAGATAAAAAAAGCCAGATACCATGATCATACTACTGGAAAATATATTAGAGCAGCTCACATTAACTGTAATTTGCAATGTAAACAAGTTAATTTCATTCCCGTAATTTTTCATAACTTAAAAAATTTTGATGCACATTTATTATGTCAAAGTTTAGGATCGTTCAAAAATCAGAAAATTCAATGCATTCCGCAAACAATGGAAAAATATATCAGTTTTAGTATAGGAAGTCTTAGATTTATTGACTCCTTTGCATTTTTACCATCTTCATTAGAGACACTTGTTAATAATTTAGCTCAAGATGGATTATCATCTTTTCAGCATTTTCAAAGTGAAATAAAAAATCACACAGAGTTGCTGCTCGGAAAGGGTGTTTATCCCTATGAATACATGGATAAATGGGAAAAATTCAATGAAACTCAACTCCCACCAAAAAATAATTTTTACTCAACCATATAAAATGAATGTATTTCACAGCAAGAGTACGATCATGCTTTACCGGTACCTGTATACAATACTTGTGGGATAAAAACGCTTGGAGAGTATCATGACCTTTATCTTAAAACAGATGTTTTATTGTTAGCTGATGTGTTTGAGAACTTTAGAAATATGTCTCAAAGATGTTATGACCTCGATCCATGTCATTTTTAGACCAGTCCTGGTCTTAGCTGGCAAGCAATGCTTAAAATGACGAATGTTACTTTAGAACTTATGACAGATATAGATCAGATTCTGTTTATTGAAAAGGGGATTAGAGGAGGAATAAGTCAAATTTCAAATAGATATAAAAAAGCAAACAATCCTTATTTTAAGGAGTATGATTCTACTAAAAAAAACTCATATTTAGCTTATTTTGATGTTAACAATTTATATGGGATTTCGTTATCAGACAAATTACCTGTAGGCTTCTTTAGGTTTCTACCTGAGGAAGAAATAAATACATTCAATGTTTGTCAAATACCAGAGAATGGATCTAAGGGATATATATTGGATGTAGACTTAGAATATCCAGAGAATTTACATGACAACTACAATGACTATCCACTAGCCCCTGAAAGAAAATTCAAACCTAATAATAAACTATCACCATATGCACAAAATGTGTGAAAAAAAAATGCACAACAAAACAGATGCATATCCATCTAGAGCAAAGGTTGAAAAATTACTCACAACTCTCGAAGACAAGGAAAACTATGTACTTCACTACAGGAATTTGCAATTGTATCTTCAACTGGGTCTAAAATTGAAAAAGATTCACAAAATACTAGAATTCCAACAAGAAGCTTTCATGCAATCCTATATGGAATTTAATACAAACATGAGACAAAAAGCCAAATCAACTTTCGAGAAAAACTTCTTCAAGTTAATGAACAATTCAGTTTTTGGTTAGTATGTAGTTTTATATAAATAAACATTTTAGATAATAAATAATTTTGTTTTAATATGTATAAATATTTCTTTAACAGTAAATAGTATATAGTTTTATATAAATAAACATTTCAGATAATAAATAATTTTGTGTTAATATGTATAAATATTTCTATAACTGTAAAACATGCTTACCTTATTTTATTTTCATCCCTTACTTATTGCTATTTTTATTTTCAGGAAAGACGATGGAAAATCTTAGGAAACATAGATCTGTTGAACTTGTTCATACAAAGGTCCGACTGAAGAAGGTATCAGCCAAATCGACATACAAAATGCATCGGATGTTTTCAGAAGATCTTGTGGGAGTTGAATTAAACAGATTGAAAGTTAAACTAAACAAGCCAATATACATTGGAATGACTGTTTTAGATTTATCAAAACGTACTATGTATGATTTCTATTACAACCATTTAAAGAAACTTTATGGAGACAAAGTGCAATTACAAATGACAGACACTGACTCTTTTTTGTTTTACTGTAAGACGAAATATTTATTCAATGATATGTATAATCACTCTCATTTATTTGACACTTCAGACTTTCCCAAGGAACACTTTTTACACAATGATATCAATAAAAAGGTCATGGGGAAAATGAAGAGTGAAACTAATGAAAAATGTATTTCAGAATACTGTGGTCTCAGATCGAAAATGTATGCCTTTAGCTGTGGTGGTAAAGAAGACAAAAGTGCTAAAGGCATATCAAAGGTGGTTGTCAAAAAAGATTTAAGCTTACGGCATTATAAAGACACATTATTCAATGATTCACAATTAGTTTCTCAAATGAATACATTTCGCAGTCATAATCATGAAATTTATCTCGAAAATATTAAGAAAAATAGACTGTCTTGCTTTGATGATAAGCGATATTTACTAAATGATGGCATTTCTTCACTAGCCTATGGACATTACAAAATAAAACAGTAATTAGATACACGTATTTATTCTTTCAGCTATTACAGTCACAGCACACAAAATTCAAATTTCATTCTTTCTTTTTTTATTGTAGAAGAGTGACCTAAAAATATATATCATTATTAATATTGATGTGTATTTATCAATGTGTTTTTTATTATATATGTATATGTATGTGAAATGTCTTTTTGTGATTTAGAAAATAAATAGTTTAAAAATATATTAATTCTTATTTTTAATTATATTAAATTAGTATCATTAATTATAAAAAAAAGTTTTATTTTTATAAGAAGACTTACTGGAATCGCGTAGAACATCTCATCTTCCCCTTCAAAATCATCATTAGATGCACCAGGTGCATAGATAGTAACCTGTAATGTTTAAGATATTTTAACATTTTACTAAAAGTATTTAAAACTGAATTTAATTCACTTATTTGTCTGGGAAAAATATTGTTTATGTTTATCTATTTACATAACATTTCAATAATATAAAGAAAACAATCAAATGGAGGAGATGTTTGATTTATCCCGGCTTGGCTGTTATTAGCTGGTATCTAACCAAAAAGGTGTGTAATCAATATTCATGATAATCATAAAACTTATAATATGGAAAAACTTTGTCTTAAAAAACGTATGATGTAATAAAAATAATAAATCGAGCTCTATAAAAAATTTATGCAAAACATTAATATTCATATAACTTCAATAAAATACATCAACTTACAAAAGGAGGTGACACTGCCGCCTCAGCAGACTGTGATATTATCTAACATTAAAGATGCAAAGGTATGATTATGGCAACAATGATACTTACAAATATAACATATCTTATACTATTAATTGTAAAAAAGAAAGTAGTATGAGGTAAATATGTAGCTTTATGTTTTCATTAAGATAGACTAAAAAGTATATCAAACTTACATTTTGAACACTATGTTTTTGTTGTTGCTGTTTAGCTGGCTGCTGTTGTTGAGGTGGTTGGTGTTGTTGTTGCTGCTGCTGTCAAAGTGGTTGTTGCTGTAGTGGTTGTCGCGATGTTGTTGGTGATGATGATGTCTAAAACATACAATCTCAATTTAAAACATAACATTATACATATAAAAATATACTATAACATTATACATACATCTTACTAAAAATGTTAGTACTTATACTGAGATACATACATCTTAAGTATATACCTTTCAATGAGTAAATGCTATTTTGTCTATGATCAATAATTTCTAACATCATCATTATAAAGTGTAAAACAAACCTGCGTGAATGTCTAATTTGAAATGTTGCATTTTTTATATTTTAAAAAATGAAAATGTCTTACTGGGGTGGCTAAGAAGTACTCGTCATTCCCATCAAACTTGTCTTGAGGATAAAGTGTAATCTGGAGGTAACAAAAATATATTCGCATTGATACATGCTGGTACAGATTTCTTCTTTTTTTATGTTAATATATCTTTAAAATGAAAGATAAACTCAAGTTATAATTAGCATATATGATACGTATGTTTAAGTATTAATTAGTATATAAATTTTGATTCATATCAGTAATGGCTTAATCAACTTACATAAGGGGGTGATACTCCAGTGACCTCAGCAGCAGCAACAATTTGTTGTTGCTGAGGTGGTGGTGTTTGTTCCGGTTGCTGTTGCTGCTGTCGAAGTGGTTGTTGCTGTAGTGGTTGTCGCGATGTTGCTAGTGATGATGATGTCTAAAACATGCAATCTCCATTCATAACATAACATTATATATATATAAATATACTATAACATTATACATACATCTTACTAAAATTGTTAGCACTTATACTTAGATACATACATCTTAAGTATATACCTTTCAATGAGTAAATGCTATTTTGTCTATGACCAATAATTTCTAACAACAAGCGAGGTGATATCTAAATGCTATAAAATAATAAAATAATAAAATCAAATTAAATAAGTGACAAACCTGCGTGTTGGTAAATTTATCATGATAATAATCCACTCTACCTAGCAACTTTTTCAGTTCATCAATTTCCTCTTTGCTGAAGGAAATAGATTTGGTTTAGTAAAGTCAAATTTACCGCTAGGGTTGTTAAAACAATCATTGACGTCGGATATGTGGATATATGTATTCCCATGAAAAGGGGTCATACATATTTCTTTATTCTTTCCAAACTTAGTCGAAGCTTTCACTAGAACACTATTGTAATTTCGTTTTTCAGTGAAACTAGCCATTTTATAAATATAACTCTAAAGTATTACTTTAAAAAATAAAATATAAAACTTTAAACTCTTAAATAGTAAAAGATAAAGTGAAAAAATAGCGTTAAAATGCATCTTATATCACCTTGCTTGTTGTTCATTGCTTTTTTTCTATTGGTCAATCTTTAAAAATATAGCATCTTGAAAATGAATTACCTTCTGATTGGTTTTCAACTTTTTTCATCATGTTGAATAGTATTTTTAAACGATTTGACAACTTTTGATTGGTTCCTTGTGTTACTTTTTTTTGTAGTACACCCTCAAACACACCCCACCCCTCCCTCACTTTGATTAATACATAGTAGATTTTATGTTTTTTATCGTTTTTCTCTTCCATCTTTAAAGATTTAAATATTATTAATATATCATTTTATAAAATGGGGACCCAAAAATTTAGTACATTGTAACCTTTAACATCTTTCCGCTACATTAATTTCTTTGAGTTACTTATTATAATAACAATTATGACCTTGAACTCTTATATAAGTTACTGCGTAAAACAAGAGACATTGAAAACATGTCTTTCTTGTTCGCTTTCTTGCTCGTTGGTACAGCAACAGGGGAAACAGTTGACGTAAAACACGTGTGTGATGAAAGTCTAGGTATTTTGACCTGTGTTAATGTTGGGGTTCACAATTTCATATATTCATCTTCAAATGAGCAGATCACAAGGGTGCAATTTAAGGGTCGGATGGGAGGTCAAGTCGATGTGCATAATTTGCCTTATGTAGACACAGTTGTAACATAAAGTAACATATGTTATGCAGACATAAAAGGACATGCTGTTGAATTATACAACACATCGGGGCGCTTTCCCTGTTCTGTAAAATATTTATAGAAAATCTATAGTAATAGACACTTTCGTCTATAGTAATATTTTATTCACTTAAACAATAGTTATCGATATATTTATTGCCAAATAGTAATAAATTAAGTGTATAATTATCTAATCACACACAATACTGTCACTTGTAAGCTTTTTAAATTTTATTTGATAAGTTCTTCTACTTATATAAGCTTAACTGTTGTCATACAAAAAATCATGTAATAGAAATGGATATGTACAATGAATATTTTAAAAATTTATATAATGCTATTTAATTTGTTAATATAACATTGCATTGAAGCAACTATTAGCATCCTTTGTTCATGTGAGTGGTAAAATTTTGTTATAAAATTGGCTTGACTAAACCATGCATATTGAAAATCCACACCTTTCTACTGTATATGAAATGTATAAATGGAACTTAACATATATTTACTTTTTTCATAAAATGTTTTCTCATTGTTCCTTGCAGGCTGTAAAAAACACACCAATGGCAGGAAAAACACCAGATATACATGTACTTTCTATACTTTTTAATATCTTAAATATTTAGTCCTTAAAGTTATAACGCATTTAGTTTTATGGGATAATAAACAGAAATAGAAATTCAACAAGTACTTCTATGAAAATCATTTTTTTTGTGTTTATACAATATAAGTTCATTTCAGCAGATGCTATTCATTTTTTATATTTGTTTATCAATTCTTTAAAGTAAATTTATAAGATAACTAACAACAGTGTAATTTATTGTTTTAATATATTAATCAGTTTAATTAATTTTATCATTTTAGTTGATGATTATACCACTGATAATGAGATGACATTAAAATTAAAGAATAAACCCCCGCACCTACAACTGTTATACCTACAACCCTTGCACCATCAACTGTTACACGTACAACCCTTCCAATAACTTCCGATTCACATGCCCCCTCATCTAAAGGTAATTTCACTCCTTCGTATATTATTCCTGAAAATAATAAAACTGACTTTAACAATGTGTTAACAACTTCTGTTTCATGTAAAATATTAATTGTTAAAAAAAATCAAGACTCGGTATCAAACATAGCTTTTGGTTTTACAGTTGGTACTCTAAGTATATTACTTTTGATTTTAATAATATTATCTACATTCATTTATATAAAATATCACAAATCCTTTAAACACATAATAATTCATGACGAAGGTGATAATAATAGTGAGATTGTGCAATTTGAAATGGGATTAGTTCAAAAATTCAATACCTAGAGCTTCCTCTACTGATACCTATCTCGAACCTAGCCATCATACTACAGAAAATAATGAAAATATTTATGAGGTAGCCATTTAATCATTTATTTTCAAATAAACAACCTAGCATGTTATGTATTTTTATTTATAGCTCGTGTCATCATCATCATCATCATCATCATCATAGTACCTGCTTGTGTTATGATTGTGATATTCATTGTGTTCATCATCATCAAGTATAGAACAAAAATCAAATGTTGTAAATCAACAACAACAAGATTACCCGAAAACATAGAATTAGACCCATTCCATATGGATTTACCTCACTCTTCATCAAACATACCACCTACATCAACTACTACATCATCAGCACCTATTTTATTGCAATAAAATTAATCATTAGATTCCATTGTTGAACTTTTTTCATTTACACAACCATCTCTGCATTCGAGACTGAAACAAAATTAAAATGTTTTTCCATCTTTTTAGCTCACCTGTCACAAAGTGACAGGGTGAGCTTTTGTGATCGCTTTTCGTCTGGCGTCCGTCCGTCCGTCCGTCGTCCGTCCGTCGTCCGTCCGTAAACTTTTGCTTTAAATGACATCTCCTCATAAACCACTGAACCAATTTCATCCAAACTTCACAGGAATGTTTCTTTGGTGGTCACCTTTAAAAATTGTTCAAAGAATTTAATTCCATGCAGAACTCTGGTTGCCATGGCAACCGAAAGAAAAATCTTTAAATATCTTCTTTTAAACAACCCTAAGAGCTAGAGCTTAGATATTTGGCATGAAACATCTTCTAATGAGTGTCTACCAAGTTTGTTCAAATAAAAGCCCTGGGGTCAAAATTGGCCCCGCCCCAGGGGGTCATTGATTTTCCCTATATGCATATAGTAAAAACTTAAAAAATCTTCTTTTAAAGAACCGTAAGAGCTAGAGCTTAGATATTTGGCATGAAACATCTTCTAGTTAATGTCTACCAAGTTTGTTCAAATAAAAGCCCTGGGGTTAAAATTGGCCCCGCCCCAGGGGGTCATTGATTTTCCCTATATGCATATAGTAAAAACTTAAAAAATCTTCTTTTAAAGAACCCAAAGAGCTAGAGCTAAGATATTTAGCATGAAACATGTTCTTATGAGTGTCTACCAAGTTTGTTAAAATAAAAGCCCTGGGGTCAAAATTGGCCCCGCCCTAGGGTGTCATTGATTTTCCCTATATGCATATAGTAAAAACTTAAAAAAATCTTCTTTTAAAGAACTCAAAGAGCTAGAGCTAAGATATTTAGCATGAAACATGTTCTAATGGGTGTCTACCAAGTATGTTCAAATAAAAGCCCTGGGGTCAAAACTGGCCCCGCCCCGGGGTCATTGATTTTCCTTATATGTGTATAGCAAAAAACTTAAAAATCTTCTTTGAAAAAACCCAAAAAATAGAGTTTAGATATTAAGCATGAAACATCTTTAAGTAAATATCTACAAAGTTTGTTCAAATAAAAGCCCTGGGGTCAAAACTGGCCCTGCCCCAGGGGTGTCATTGTTTTTAACTATATGTGTATAGTAAAAACTTAAAAAATCTTCTGTTGAAAAACCAAATGAGATAGAACTTAGATGTTTAGCATGAAACATCTTCTTATGGGTGTCTACCAAGTCTGTTCAAATAAACAAATAAAAGCCCTTGGGTAAAAATTGGCCGGGGGGTGGTGGGGTGGCTATATACAGGTGAGCGACCTCAGGGCCATCATGGCCCTCTTGTTAAGTTATCTTCATAGTCATCACCACCATCATCATCACCATCATTTTCACAACAGTGATTAGTTCATGCATTTTTATGGCAGACATTTATTGTAGTTTTTTATATTATATTCAATATGGATTTTATTATAATGAAAGAATGGAACCAGAAAGAATAGAACCGGAAAGAATAGAACCAGAGATAGAAGGAGCAAACATGGAAGAACTAGAAAGACGATATCTATGGAGCAGAATTTGGGTATTTATTCATTTGACTACTTGTAGTTTTCATTTGCTTAAGTTTAAATCATATTCCTACAAATTTGATTCATCTGTGAGTAAATCAAAGTTCTTTACTTAAATATTTATTTATTTATTCTTTCTTACTATGTTTATAGTAAATTGTAATATTCTAAAGCCAATGCCAGTTCTTCATCTTAATTCGTTAAATTTAATATTAGATACCAATAATTAAATGTGCTATTTCTACTTATTTAAAAGAAAGTGTGTTTTCTCGAACTTGTTTCTTACAAATGTATTTGTGCAACTCTTATTCCCATTCGATTCACACTGAAAATAAATTTGTATTTAGAGGCTATAAGAATTGTTGTTATAGAGACTTATCCATATTCTAACTTTATGAAATTATTAACATTAAACAACCTTAAGCGAAATAAAACTGACTCATTTCAATAAAAACTAGAAAGCACGTGATAAATATTTGCTTTTTGTGTCCTAGATTGGTACCAGACCTAAAATTCTAGCGCAAAATCTTAGTGACGGGAGATAACTCATGTATCGCTTCGGTATTTTCCGTGAGCACAAGGTGTGAGGAAACAATGCTACGCGGCGATTTAATCCAAGTTTATAGGTAACACACCACAGTAATGTAAGCCAAAGCTTTGAATGGCCAGGGAGAGAGGATTTCTTGGATATTGTGAATATTCTGGATTTTACCTTTTACCCAATGAGCATATTGTGAATCAAAGTGCTGCAGCACTGAATGCGACGGACATGCAACTGGATAGACATTAAGGCTTTTTTAGAAAAAAAAACAACAAAAACAAAACACAAAATAAATAACAGAGAAAATTTGTTCCATACAAGTTCGAGATTTGTAGAGCAATATATTTTGTGTCAAAAACTGATATAATTCAGATTTTCTACTTTCAAGCATTTATAAATACAGAATGAAATTTATGCCTAAAAACTCTGGTCAAACTTGTAAATCAGTGTCCTTATCGATTTATTCCAAGAAATGATATGTAAATAGAAGAAAAATCTGTCAACGAAATATTTCTAAAATAAAACCATGCAAATAAACTTCAAGCATAATACATTATACATGTGAGAATGCTATTTAGAACTGCTTCGTGTTATCATAGTTGGCATATAGACAATAAAATATAAGTCATTTGTATTTTCATTTCTCTTGGATATGTCTCATTAAAAATTTTTTGGTTAAAATCATCAGCAATTAATAGTGTATTTTTTATATTTTTTTTATTTACAAGAGGCCAGAGCACATCGTTTTTATTTTAATTTAAATGTCACTTAAGCACTACAGTGTTTAGTTGTCCTTTTCAAATTCACGCTAAATTCCATTTTCAGCTTGTTTGCTTCTTACAATCGTATAGAATTTCTTAAAGTATTGCATGTAATCCGCTGGTTTATTACATCCCTAATCGCCTGTCCAAAAATCAGCACAGGTGAAGAAGAATCTATTTTTAGAATAGCGAAGGTTAACTCATGTCGTGACCTAGAAAAATATGTAAAAAAACCACAAGACTCGGAAGTAGAACTGATATTATAACTTCCTTCAAGAAAGACTACATGGTGGTAAAGTGTTGAAAAACTCTCTTGTTACATGCATTTTCAAAAATAGATATTTATACTAACCATTGTACTGTATCTAATTTATTAATAAATGCTGAATATTCAGCTAAACCCGCGGTATGAGTCACGTAAATAGTTCTTCTTTTATTAATGCGCGAGTAATTCTAGAGTCACGAAAAACTTTTGATTTGTTAATAATAATGTTTTGTATAATGTAGAAATATTTATTTCCTACTAATAATTTCTTGGAACTCAGAGCTTACACCTTAATTATAGTATAATTTGCTGTCCTACTTTTTCGACAGCGGTAAATCGTTTCGGCAGTAATTTGCATATTGCGCAATAATACTACGGGACTACAACGTTTTTATCAATCATATACGTTCACATTTTAACTTGGATAACTTAATTTGAAATTGAAAAGGCTAAATATGGAAGATATTAAGATATCCCGACAAAGTATGGGAGTTTTAAACGATCAAATTCATGTACTATTTCTTGGACTGTTAATCGGTTGAGGACACCTTGCGCGATTGTAGCCGACGAAATCCCATGTGTAGATGACTTAGCTCTGAACGCGCCTGAGGGCGCGTCCGTCGCAAAAATGGCCGTTTTCAATGAAAAACCTCCTGTTACAAGTTCAAACTGCTATGAAACTATGAAAAATGCTTCAATACTGATGAAACTTGGCACAAATGTTGACTGGACCATAGGCTCTGTAACAGCAGGCTCAATCGTTAATTTTCTGTTACCATGGCAACGGGGAGACGTCTTACAATTGCGCAAAATCACTATTTTGCATTGTTTTTTTCCATCAAAACTGATTTCAAAGTGCTGCAACGTCTCAATGAATTAAGATAGAGTAAAACGCTTTTCAGCGTCTGTTACTAGTTACCCTGAGATCGACCTGAGGCCATTTTTCGACTGTCACATGTCCAAAAATTTCTTGGCGATGAGGGTGACTACCGCCACCTTCAAACACCCCAAACATAAGGGGGCACATCACCCTTCTGGCAACCCCCTGATGTACTATTTTGATGGGGACCGCGCCGAAAAGTGGTCACTTTTTAAAAAAACATTTCCCAAATGAGAAACCGTGTTGGGGGCCTAAATAGGACATTTTTTCACTGTTTTAGGCCTCAAAAAGGGGGAGGGGTTGGCAAAAAGCCGTCAAAACACGTCTATATAAGGAAAAGGGTTAAATGACTGGTTGTCTTTAAAGTGCATTTGCAGCATGAAATTTGTTCTTGTGACATCTAATATGATCACTGGCAAATTCGAAAACAAGGCCGGAAATCACATGCTGTTGATAATAGATGTCAAGGCCGCCATTTTTGTAAACATTGCTTTTAAACAGCATGCACGGTTACCAACTTTTAGCAGTAGCAAAAAATCTACAAGGTTTAGCACCAGTTTCTTTGTGATATTTTGCATGTATAGGGAGTTGCTAAAGCAGAGACGGTGTTCCTTTAGCCTGTATATTTGCAGGTATTTTTTGCCAGAGGGACGAAATGTGTTGTTTTGGGTCTCGGGCCACTGTAGGTTTTGGGCTTCAACGGAATGAATTGCAACTTTTTTGACTGCCTGCCTATTGCAGATGGGATGATTTCTTTGTAGATTTGCAATCTTATGTCATATATGTTGTAATGATATCTGTTTAACTCTGATACATTAACCTTGACCTTTATATGTTAGCACAGTATTATTCCATGAATGCCTGAATGGGCAGCTCATATATATAACAGGCGATTCCCGCCATTTACCAGTTCTTAGATTAAACTAGATTAATTCACATCTGTGTTCTTCTTATTAATTTACTTCAGAACTCCGTATAATTACAAGCTGTATGTATACGTACACAAAACAGAAAATATTACATATGTTCTCAACAAAATGTGTTTTCTTTTTCCAGGTTGTATAGTTTGGTATCAGAATTATTAGACGTATTGCTTGTAGGACATTGACGGCAGGAACTTAACAGTGAAGTGCTACCCTGGATTTCGTGGATTTTTTGAAGAGAATATTTCAACGGTTACACCGTCAGAAATTACGGACTTGTACGGAAATATTGGTTCCCGGCCAGATGTATAAATGTAATTTCGTATTCGTGTTATTGCAGTTCGTATTCGTCTAGGTGCATTCGTGTAGATTTTATTTCAGTGTTATGTAACCCACTTTGTATTCTTAAAAGAAAGGACGTTCAAGATCATAAGTTAAAACTAAATTATTCAAATTGAAAAGGAAAAAGTATGCATCATAAGATCTTATCACGTAGTTTAAACAGGAAGTAGAAACAATTGATCCTTACATTCTGCAGTATCAAAATACAAATGTTTAACTGTCAATTAAAAAGTAGCAATTAAACTTTTTTAAATCAATTTAAATTTATATGATTATAGATAAGAATTTAATGAATACGAATATAAATAAGATAAAAAAGAAATTTAAAGATAAACAGCGAATAAATACCCAAATTCTGCTCCATAGATATCCATTGAGGGAAAGAAGAGAGCCAGATAGACTAAAATATAATAATTAGTTTTTTTTTTGTCATGTTTCATTGTGTTTGTTATCATGTCTATTATTTATGTTTATTTTCATTAGGAAAAATCAGGGAGATCATTTAAAGTAAATCAAGGAGATTATATGTAGTGTTTTATTTTGTCTTATTCTCACTTTAAAAAATCAGGAAGATTATTGTTATTGTTGATGTTAATATATAAAATCATTTGTTCAATTATTTGTACATTAAATTTTTTATTGATTTATAGTCAAATTAAAGTTATAGCATATATATTAAAAGGTAATAAAAGATTAAGAACACTTTTTAATATTAAAATATATAATACAATGGAAACTTTTTCAAATATTTTTATAATAGAAACTTGGTTTTAATTTTTTTCATTTAGATTGCAGTCACTTACTTTCTCCCATTTTATAAGTAATACTTGTTTAACATTTTAATGATATACCTCATCTTGTTTTATTGCATTTTTTCTTGAAGATTTTTTCAATGAAACCTTTAAAAAATCCCACATATAAGATGTCTTTTTAATGTTTAATAGTTTGTTTTTTGTTGTTAATGATATATAAATCATTTGCTCAATTATATGTACATTTAAATTTTTATTGATTTATGGTTTAATAAAAGTTATGATTGTTTCTCAAGTTGTTATTTTTATTTATAAAATGTACATATTTTGATCTTCAGTTTATAGACAATATAATGACATTCTTGTAAGCAATGAAAGTGTGTATAATACAGAACCTAAACATGTTATTGATTCTTCTGTTCTAAAATTTATGAAGACATCAATAATCCCTTTAAGAGACAACTTTCTTATTTTTTGTGAAATCTTGAAATTCTTTTTATGGTTAAATGAATACAATCAAAGTTGTTAAAGGTTTTATTGTTTATAGTAAAAACAAGTACAACTTACCAAAGAAATAAATGACTCCTTATCTCCATATCATGTTAATAACTTGTAAAGGATAAGATTTTACTTTCATGAAAATGAGCAAAAAGCGTTTAACAAAGTAAAAATTTCTTTTTTTTTTCTTTTTTTTGAATTTCATTTTTATCTCTATGTATTTGAACCGACTTAACAGAAAATATGAGCGGATATGATTAAGCTTGTTTTAGTTTTGGTATTCTTTGTTACACCAACTGAATAAGACTGGATAGCGAGTTTCTACAGTCCAACAATCTTGATAAAAATCTCCAATTATAAAGATGTTTGCTTTTAACTCAAAGATGGACAAAATGATAAAACAATGACCATATGATTAGTTTGTAAAGGTGTATAATTTACTTGTAAAGGCGTATACTTAACTTGTAGCGACGCTTTATACAGTAGACCGAGATATTTTTTACCTGCGAGCAAAGAAAGGACAAACAACTTATAATGTTATACACAAAAATAGTCAGTGAACTCTTTATGGAGTACAAATAGTTTAAAATATGAGTCATGTATTTAAATTTGAACTTAATTATAAAGTATTGAAAGTACTATTGGAAGGTGATTTCATATACATGTTTATTTAAATTTCAATTAAGATTTTATCATTATGGCTATTAAATTTTTCTTTCATAAATATTTATTTCAAAAAGTGTCTAATAGTGATAATATGACATTATCATTCACATCAACTAAAGTAAGATAAAAAATTTTATTCCCTAGAAGATATATTAATAATGATCTTGTAAAGTTAAGTTTAAGAAAACCTATTATAAGATAAAACTTTTACACATTTATTATAGCTGCTAGTAAAGTATTGTATAAGTCAAATATATGGATCAATAACCACCGCTATTGCGAAATTATCCTGTTCGCTTAGTATTCATTGTACATATCGCGACATTTCATTTTTGATAATTAAACACCTTCATACCAATCGGAATGTTCGGCTATTACTGCCGACGAAAATGCCCTAGAAGTTGCAATTGCCCTTTCACAATTTTAAAAAGGGGCCCCTTTCGGGGGGCGCCCAAGGGTTTAAAAGGGGGGCCCATTCAAAAAACGCTTTATACTTAAGAGCAGGGGAAGTGGGCCGGGAAGGGGGGAAGGTATTTGGGGGGGGATTTAAAAAAATTTAGGAGGAAAGATAAGACACTCACAGTGGACGAGAAAACCAGAAGGGACAAAAAAGTGCCAACACAAGTGTATGTAACATTAAACAAAATATACATCTGAGAAACACAAAGGGGCGCTGCCTTGGAACAGCTAGAAGTATAAGCATTGCTGTGGAGTTTTAATTGGTTAATGGTGCACCAAACACCACTGTTAGCCCTTAATTTTTGCTTTTAAACAAGGCAATGTTAATATAATGAATTCCCGTCAAGCAAAATTCAAACAATTGTTATGGTTACACCACGTGAAATAAGTAAAATATGATAAACAAGATCAACAAGGAAAGGCGGCGTTCAATGAACGCAACCCCCATATGAGTAAAACATAAGTAAAACACAGAAATGATTAATGTTTTTAATGATTATTTGATGTAATTCTCCGGGGTAGGCTACAATTTCATTATAATTGATTATGCCATTGTAAAGCTGCGTGCCTCCAGATGAGAAAAGAAATATTTCAAGAAAAATGAAACTTGAGAAAATCAATGGTAGGATACTACGTCATCGCGCACCTGCTGAATGCTCCCACTTGAACAATTTTTTCGTCGACTCGAAGGTAAAATACAATTTTTTTATAAGAAAACGTAAGAGTATAAAAAATCATGTAGCACACCAAAGAATGACTTTAGTACTTGAGGTAATTGTAAAAAGAGTTTATAGATTCATTGCCTGGTTTAGGCCTGAAAACGGGATAAGTGTTTTTTCTCTGAATGCTCCTACTCGGACTTTTCCCGAAACATATATGAAATAAGGTTGAAAACCTTCTTGAATGTTTTTTAACGTACCGGAATATAAACCGAGTCATGTTTACCCATTATCCTAGATTAGTTTCAAATATTTATATTCAGAAATCATTTTTTCTTAATTATTTTTACAAAAATGGAAAATGCTCCCACTCGGACTCAACTTCAGAGATGCTCCCACTCGGACCTAGATATTGCTGTGTTAAGATATTATTATTTTTTCAAAACCTCTTTATATTCAAGTTCATATATTTTTATAATCAGAATTCAATGAAACAGCATTTTTAAAATACGATACCAATATTTAGATCACTAAAGTTGTGACATATTTTATCATAAGTCTCGTAAATATGTCTTCTTAGAGGATCAGTTATCGGCCTAAGAATAAGAAAAAATGCTGTGTTGAAACGATTCCTCGCTAAATACAGTCGTTGAAAAAAGAAACAAATTGGTTATACATTTTAAAAATATAATAACGTTTTGTTTTGCAGAAAGTATTTGTGTTTGTGAGCAGTATGGGAAAAGGTATAAACCACATTGCGACGTAAGGAAGCACATGGCAGGACATCTTGGCACGGCATAGCTGGAGCAAATATTTTAGATACCAACTTAGATGCTTCCGAGGGATCATTTTGTTTCCAGATTTTTATACTTTACAACAGCAGGTGTCAAGTGCTGTGTGGCAGCTGTAAAAAGTTGCCCCGTACTTCACGTCAGTGTTGTTATATTTTTCTGGTCCTTCGGGAGCATTGATGCCAGCACTATTAAGTGTTGAGAATTGAGTACCGCTCAAGCCGGTGCTAGGGGGCGTGAGGGATGTTGCACTTGTACATTATCCCTCATGTACAGACTCAATCAAACCGAGTCTGCAATTTTTATGTTATTTTGTTGTGATTAATGCTTCCGAAGGATCACTTTGTTTCCAGATTTTTAGGATATATCTCAGTGAGGAGGAATACTCTAGAAAACTAAAGAATAATAGCTCTTCGCAGTAATTGTCTTTTGTTCAGTTTTTGCGTTAATTTTTGGTCAATGTGTCATAAAGTATCATTTTAGGAGGATAGATTTCAATAAAGTAAATACCGCAAACAAGAATGACAACTCTCCCTTTTGGAATTATTGCTCTTTATATTCACTATGATTTATTTGCAAGGACTATACCTCTAAAGGTATTAGAGATATAAACTTGAAACTTTAATTGAACATGTTTAACATGTTTAATAAAAGTGAATAGCAGAGCATAAGGACCAGAAGTGTTCACTTAATGCTTTTTTGTTGTTTTTTCTTCTTGTTGTTCATGGGAGTGTTATTTATGTCATGATTTATAATGTCTAGGCTATAACTTTTCATTTATTTTCACGAGTGCCATAACTTGGATTTTTACATGTATGTAAGGGTTACTTCCCCTATGAAATGTAATTTTCCTCCTTTTCGGCGGGGGATTTTACTGTCTGTGATTCCTTCTTGTATGATTGTTATTATTTTAACATCATTTGAATATCCCGAAATCAATTTTCTATGGGTTTATATCATAAATATAATGATCAAATGAAGATTTATCGATATTGTATATTCCTAAAAGCATTATTTGTAAAGATAATACCGAATTTACATTTTATAAAGGGAGGTAATTAGAAATACATTTTCTATTCAGTATAAGTTGAATTCTTCAATAAGAAATGAATGCATACATATACATTTTAGTGATTACATATAATGTGGACAAGCATTTGCAGTACGTATTTTACATATTCCTTAATGTTTGAAAATTGTTTTAGTAGCATAATAATGTACATATATATATTAAATTTCAATTGGTAACAACCTGAAATATAACTTACAGGATCTTTAATTACCAAGATATGGTAAAGACTGTGATAAAGAAATAACTGTGATCTTTGTTTTCTTATTTATTTAATTTTGTTATTTTAGGTAAAAATACGTACATATGATAACTTTCATACTTAAAATTGTCGAAGTTGTCAATAATTGTGATGCATGCTTTATGTGCCATGGTATGGCAGTACATTGACGTCTTAACCAGTTCATGACAAAAAAAGGATGTTCTTAAATAAACTATTCAAATCAACCGATATATATTGACTTCTTTATGTTCATAAACGCACTATTATGTTGTTTTAAAATCTAAATTACAAGTTTAACAAACACGCAAATCATTGGGTTTTAAATTATTAACAAGATATTAAAGTCAGCAATTATAGAATAAATGCAGGCCTCTAATATGTGTACGAGTCCAACAGAATCTTAATCCAGTATGGTACTAAACAATGTATAATGACTTCTTTATAAAACACCACCATTTTTTTAACACCTCAACAAAACTTTATTCTTGAGATCAAAACAGTCCATTTAAAGCCTTATAGTCCTAGCTTTGTTGTTGGCAATAATTTTTAGTCCAACACAAGCCAAGTGCACCTTTTTGTAAAGTGATCCTGTCAGTTGAAACGTTGACATGCCACCTAGTTTATGCCCAACGAAGAATCAAAGAAGTAATCTCTATAAAAAGAATGAAAAAGTTAATGTCGCCAAACACATTAGTTATTGACAAAATGGTGTAAAAATTGTGAGAATAATCCATAAAAGCTTAACACAGCAATGTGCTTTCAAAATGTATATATTTAGGTCCGAGTGGGAGCATCTCTGAAATCGAGTCCGAGTGGGAGCATTTTCCATTTTTATAAAATAAACTTTATAAAACTGACTTTTGAATATAAATATTTGAAACGTATCCAGAAAAATGTGTAAACATGACTCAGTTTATATTCCGGTACGTAAAAAATAATTTTCAAGAAGGTTTTTAACCTTATTCTTCATATGTTTCGGGAAAAGTGCGAGTGGGAGCATTCAGAGAAAAACACTTATCCCGTTTTCCGGCCTAAACCAGGCAATGAATCTATAAACTTTTTTTACATTTATCTCAAGTACTATAGCCATTCTTTGGTGCGGTACATGATTTTTTGATACTCTTACATTTTCTTATAATAAAATTGTATTTTACCTTCGAGTCGACGAAAAAATGGTCCAAGTGGGAGCATTCAGCAGATGCGCGATTACGTAGTATCCTACCATTGAAAATGAGCAAAAATTAAATAAAAATTAAAAGTCTCTTAGTTGTAGGTAGTTTATTCATATAAGACGTGTACAAAATGCACATGGTCACACACAAAAAAAACATACATTCAAATTAAATTAAACATCACGTTATCATCAAAGTTTACAATATTTTGTAGCAAAGTGTCCGATAATGATACAAATACATGTTTGGATTGTATTAACAATACATTAAGAATGAAAGAAAATAAAGTAATATTACCAACAAAATAACATTTGTTTTATAATTATGTCTGAAGATTCTTCTGAATTAATTCCCTGCGTTTATTAAAATGCTTGTGATATAAAATGATATATAATTTATTATCATTTGCGATTAACGACAAGTTTTGCAGCATTTATCACTATATATTTATACTGCGTGACTAATGCAGTAGGGACAATGTTTGCATATTGTGACCTATTTTGGTAATTAATGTGACATTTTGCCCCCTTTCTTTCAGTCAGGTTGAGGTAAATTATATACATTTATTTCTAAAGACTGATTATTTTAATGGCGATTAATTATTGAAAATTACAATGTAATAATAAAATTTAAACATTGCCGAAAAGGACGGCCCGACTAAAAATTGAAGATATCTGAAGATTTTGGAAGGATATTTGTAGATATTTATGTGGGTAATAGGGATAATTGAATACTCCGGTGACATATATTAAAAAAAATGAAAACAAAAATGATAGCATATAAAGCTTTTCTTAATTTTTCTTGAACACTCACTACCCTTGGATGGACATAATGTCTCTTTAAC